GTATTAATAGGCTTGATCATTGTTGGCAAGGACCCTTTTGCTTTCTTTGGCATGCAAGCTCCTAGCATCTGGCAGTGGGGCCAGGAGAATAAGGTATGTGACTCAATGACTGTGGCTACTGTAGGTTCTTAGGTTGTCAGTTACAAGGCTGTAATGGATTTTTCTTTTGGGCATGGGGTGCTTGTCACTATTTACATTAATAAATGTGCGTTATTTCAGTTTTGTCACTTTATTTCTGGGCAAGGACTTAACTTCGCTTGGCTTCAGTTTCCATTATGCCTTAAAAATAATATATTTAAGGGTAATGGTCTTACCCTTTTATTTAGGGGGCATAAAGGGAGATATTGTTTTAGAAGAACCTGGACACAAAATAATTTATAACCTGATTTTGATATAATTTAGGTCATGTCATAGTCATCAGAATACAATATATATATAATTGATCTTTTATCTCAACTAATGTGCCATTAGTGGATTGATTCATATTAAAAAAATGTTTGTTAATTGGTTTTTATTAAAACTCCTTTTTGTTTTCAGTTGTTTGTTCTTCAACTTCCTGTTTATAGGGGTCTGTTTGGCAAATTGCCAGGAAGAATAAATGTAAATGTACTTAAGAATCTTGAGTTTCCTTTGCTATTTTTCTTTTCCTTTGTAGAGTCTTACAGTATATATTCTTTCTAGAGTATGTTTATTTTCATCCATTTTACTTAAAGTCATTGTTTCCCTGAATTTTCTACCATTATCAGAAATGGATATAATTTTATGTATCTCTGTGTGGGGAATCACTTAGATGCTTTCCCCTGGGGCAGGTTCTCTTGTGGAGCCCTCTGTACAGTTTGTCCTTTAGCTCTAGGCTTAATTCCTTTACCAGACTCCTGACACAGTTGTACTTCTCCTAGGGAACCACTTCGTTCCAGGAATAGGCAAGACTCTTAGCATAAACTCCTCAAGTGTTTGTTATCTCTRATTGGAAGTATGTCTGCCCTGTCATTAACAAAATGTTAATTTTCAAAGGATTAAGAATGGGAAGCTGAGCACTTACTGCTGATAATATTTTGTGATATACCTAATTGATTCCAAATTGTCCTTTGTACATTTTACCTCTGTAGATGTGTACTCCATTGTTGTTCTGCTATGAAAAATATTCTTACAAGCTGTAGCTTTTTTTGGTTCTGGGGATTGAACTCATAGGCCTGCAACCACTTAGCCACATCTCCAGCCCTATTTTGTTTTTTCTTTAGAGCAGGGTTTCACTGAGTTGTTAAGCACTCACTTCTTTTTTTTAAAATGTTTGTTTTAGTTGTAGGTGGACACAATTTTATTTTTATGTGGTGCTGAGGATCAAATCCAGTGCCTCATGCATGCTGGGCAAGCACTAGCCACAACCCCAGCCCAGTGCCTCGCTTTTGCTGAGTTTGGCTTTGAACTCGTGATTCTCCTGCCTCAGCCTCCCAAGCTGCTATGGTTACAGGTGTGCACTACTGTGCGTGGCAACAAGCTGTAACTTTTATGACAGTTCCTTGTGTTTTATTTCTATGAAAGTAGACTCATGTTCCCAAATGTTAGGAAATCAAAATCCACCTAACTCAAGTGGAGCAGAGGGAAAGCTCTTTCTTGTCTGCTGTAGACATTTTTCTGAAACAGCTTGCTGTGAATTGGCTTTCTCACTATATCCAACTTTTAGTTTGGTGATTTTGCTAAATGAAAACTCCTCTGTGGGAGCCAGGGTTGTGGTTCAGTGGTAGAGCACTTGCCTAGTGTGCATGAGGCCACTACATAAAAATAAAAACTACAACTAAAAAAGAAAAAGAATAAAACCTTTTTGTGCATAAGGAAGAGCTTCTAGCCTCTTTGGGGAGAGCATAGACTTGCCTTCTCACAGTGAATGACTAATATGCCAGTGCGCTCTCACCCACCTCTTTTTTATTTTGACTTAAAATGATTTGTTTGAAACATAAAAGATTGTATTGGATGCTTGAAGTTACTGATTATTGCGTCACTAGTCTCTTGTGAATTCATATATTGCATTATAAAAACAGTCAAATGAACCCTACTTATACTGGCATTCTTTTGTAAACTGGTTATTATGCTGTCTCATAGAAATTCTATGTATAGTGTGAGCATCCTCTGTAAGTTCTTTAACATCTGTAGAGCTATAAATTGGTGCTCCAGTTTCCTTGCTCTGTGGGTGTTGTCTGAACCTATGGAATAACAGAAGTAGTCGTGTGGAAACTTTCAAAGCAGATTTTAAAAGAGTATTGAACAAATAAAGAATGATACCATTTATTAAAAAAATTACTGTGTCTTAAGTTGTCATGTTTTAACTTTGAAATGACTTTGTTGCCTGTTGTGCTTGATTATATTTTCTTTTAGGTCTATGCATGTATGATGGTTTTCTTCTTAAGCAACATGATTGAGAACCAGTGTATGTCAACAGGTGCATTTGAGATAACTTTAAATGGTAGGTTTTGAATAGTTTGCATGTTGTGATACATTTTAAGTGATTTCTAGGGAGCAAAAGCCTTTTCTGTTTTTCATAAGAGATACTTCTTTAAAGTTGATATGAGAGGTTTATTTGATAAAAATCAAAGMTCCGGAAACAAAATTTAGAAAATTTTAACTTAATCTCTTGTCTTTACCTCTACTTGAATTTTTAGAATTTCTTGAAGGGTTGGCCCTCTTCTTGTGCTACATTATCTGTCTGGTCCTTATCTTTTCTCGGTGTAGTACTCAGGAACCTTAAACATAACCTGCTCCAAAGTAAACTCTTGATTACTTTTGCTCCCTACAATTCCTGTATGCTGTTAATTTGCTTCTCCTCTGGCATATTTGATTCTTTCAACTTCTCCTTTACTACCCATGTTTGGTCAATCACCAGGTCTTCTCAGTTCTGTCCTCTAAATGGCTCAGGAATCTCCTTCTGTTCACTTCACTGCCATCATGCTAGTTTGTGCTGCAGTTAACTTGTTGCCCTCTGCAGATAGAGGCCATTAGCTAACAACCATGTTTACATAATTAAATAGTTAAAAAGCAACAACAAAAGAATATGACATATAGAAATCATATGAAATTCAAAGCTGTGTTCATAACTGATGGTCTTAGATTCATCAGTGAAAAATCATGGAAATTTTTCTTTCTAGTTACATAATTATACCTCTATAATACCCTTGATTTTATTTCTTAGTCCATAAAGCTAAAATATTTTCTATCTGGCTTTTTACAGAAAAAGATTGCCAATATCTGCTCTAAAAGAGGGTTTTTTTGTTTGTTTTTTAATGCAGATTTCATCTTGTCACTTGAGTATGTCAAATTCCTTAAATGGCTTTACTACTTTTTCCAAGATAAAGAYCAGAATATCTAATATGGCCAAAAGGCTGTTCGAGATCTAGTTTAGGGTCTGTAAACTGTGTCCTGTGTTTCATACTCTTTTTGCTGCCGATGTTATAAATAAAGTTTCACCCAAACACAGTGTGCACATTCTTCAGGCTGCCATGAGAGTTGAATGGCTGTGACAGAAACTGTATTCCTAGAAAAAATGTTTGTTTCTTGTTTCGTTGCAGTTTGTTAACCCCAGTCTAACTCTCCCCACCCATCTGTCTCCCTCCGCCTCATTCCAGCTACCCTTTGGATCACTCACTTCGCAGGGTTTCCATCTAGTTTTTACACTTCTCTGTCTTAGAGGTTTCCTGCTCTCATGAAGCCTCACTCCTTTTTAAAATATTTTTTAGTTGTCAATAGACCTTTATTTTTATTTATTTATATGTGGTGCTGAGAATTGAACCCAGTGCCTCACAAATGCCATGCAAGTGCTCTACCACTGAGCCCCAGCCCCAAGCCTCACTCTTATCTTGGTAACTTTTCTTTACTTTTTAGATCTCAGTTTAAATGATATTGCTTCTCTGACTAGTCAGCAGTGGAGCACTAGAGCACTTTCTAGTTTTACTTTCAGTACACAATATTAATGGTGTAGCTATTTATGTAGTTCTTGGTATTTCCTCTTCTAGAGTGTAAACTCCCTAAGAACAGGAGCTTCTGCTCACCTTTGTATTCCCAGTTGAGTACATAGACACTTGATAAATATTTGTGGAATGAATGTTTCTTAGAACTATCTTTAATTTTGGCATGGGGGTACTATTTATGTTTTACAGACGTGCCTGTATGGTCTAAGCTGGAATCTGGTCATCTTCCATCCATGCAACAACTTGTTCAAATTCTTGACAATGAAATGAAACTCAACGTGCA